TGAAATGATACATAAGGTACTTCGAAGACGACCCGACTTTTGCGTGTATCATTTATATGATACACGCGGAGGGCTGACCTTAATCGCCTTTGCGAGAAAGAGTACTCGCCAAAGGGTGAAGGATTTTTTGGAAGAAGTTGTGAAACCGTAACGGCTTTGCAAAGGTCACCTTTCTAGTTGATGATTATTTTATACTTATGTTTAAATCATGTGATTTCTGTATCCCACGTACTCATGCATGGTGTCCTATCAGCCTATATGGGCTGGGCGACAATATTTATACACTTCTATGCACTCCGAAGAAGCCTGACTTTTACCTGTATGATTGCAATTATTTACACGGGAGACGATTTTGCAACGATTGAGATTTTCAAAGTCGGACTGTCTTCATGCTGTCTAACAACAATTTTGGTTAAAATTAGGTAATTTTCGGGGCGCAATGTGATTCAGGTGAAAGTCGTGTTGTCGTCGACGTGTTTGCAACGATACAGGCAAAATGTATCGGCTATCGAATGATTGCTAGCGTACTCGTTTTTACACATGTGCATACATGTCAGTGGCTCGTTCAGTTGAAGCAAAAGAGCCATATATATAAATCTTGAGCATTCTTTCCCGAAAGGGTGAGTATTGCGCAGTACACTGCCCTTGGCTTGGCAGCGGCCCTTCGCCGGGTAATGACATCGCTGGACGTGACCCGGAAACAGATGCAACCAGATACCGCGAAACCCCCATAGGGTGCGTATTTTGACGGAAATCCAATGGCGGAAACCTCCCCGAAAAATGGAAATGAGTCAATTTTGACGCTACAAAGCTCGTTTATGTGTACAAGTGTGATCTTCAAGTAAACTTTCCGAGGTTCCCTGACTTGTAAGGATTACAACGACATATATTTTAGCCTGGCTTTCCCGATTCTGACTGCGCTATGATAAATTCTGTGAACCATGCTAAGGACTCATTTCGGCGGTTAACAGGTGTTCCCACCAGAGGCGGTGAAGCTCTTCCTAGAACGGACACATTATTTGACTATTTACTACTCTTTAAGTTGCTGACACGTACAATTTGGTATTGCATTTAAATAAAGAAATATCACCCCGTACTCCATGACCAAATGAAGTCACATTGAAATCACATTGCGTTCAGACGCAAATCGCGATGCGGGAAAACCGATTCGAAACCACCTATAGAAGTGGTTTGGGATCGAGGCGCTTTCAATGTGATTTGGAGCGTTCAGATGGAGCCACTTGAAACCGGGTTCGGGGTAAACCACATGTAAAGCGCCTTGGGTGACTTCACATAACATGACACGGCCTAAGAGTCGCCATCGAACATAAAGATAATCAACAAATGTGTAATACTTCATAAAAATAACAAATAGATATATGCAATCCAAACAATACAAAGCAGACAAATCTGTTATGATTTAACGCAGCATGTAATGCAAATTACTTATTTCGTGCTTGTTCCCTCTCTAGCCAAATGTGGCCGCTTTCTCATGTGTTTCTCGCTGTACTCAAACACAAAGAAAGTGTTTGACACCCACCAGCGTCCTGGTGAACTCCCGGCGCTTCATGGTATCCGTGTCTTGAGTTGTCTATGGATCATTTATGGCCACGTGGACATGGTCGCTCAGTTTGGTAAGTATTTCACAGTCTTTCGTAGAACTGAAGTTGAACAAAAGTTGATCAGGACATAGTTGCTCTAGGTGGTACATGTAGTTTGTTAAGGCAAGTCAAGCTTCAGGACTGACATTTGATGCTGTAAAACCAGCATTTGTATTGATAGAAAACATTTGCAGGCAAACGGCAATGTCCAATGGGCCATATATAGCGGCCATCTACAGTTCTTTTGGATAGATAATGAATAGATATGAAAGTACGTGAAATGAAGTAGATTCTATAGGAGAGACATTTCCGAACGTGACAAAGTTTCCCTTCAGCCAACAGGGCGGAATTCGAGGCTCGACGTCGGGAATGGTGGTTCTTTGTCCTCGACTGCTTCGATATGGCAGTAGACACGTTCCTCGTTCTCAGGTTGTGCAGCTAAAGCCTGTTTAAAACATTACTGAATATCATGAAGCTCGGTTTATGGAGGTATTGTTTTTGGCGTGTCTGTATGTATGTATGTATGTATGTATGTCCGTGTGTGTTTCCGCAGCTTTGTGGTCAGCATAACTTCAGAACGCCTTTATGGATTATGATGATATTTGGTATGTTGGTAAGTCTTAGGAAGACAAACGTCAAGGTCAAATATGGGCCTCCTGGTGGATGACCTTGGTACTGCAGCATAACTTCCGGTTTTTGTATCTTTTGTCCTGAACATGCTATGGTCTTGATGTTTTGGTGACAGAATGCTTTTCATGTCAGGAATAATAAGTGTGAGTTTAGTCCCCCTAGCAGCTTGTTCTGGAACTGCAGGGCACTTTCTGGCGAAATGTTTAAAAACCAATAAATCCAGATAGGAACAACATATTTTCATAATTTTTGGTGTGTAGGTAGCTGAGAGAGAGATGTACATGATTAAATGCAAATTATGCAAAGGAGGACTTTATTTGCATAATTAATGAGGAAATTCTATAATTACAGTGTTTTACATTATACTACTTTAATACATGTAATGTATGTAACCTATGGCAGGCAGAACATCAACAGATACTAAT